TTTAATTTCTCAATTACTTTGAATCTTAAAGACAAAGTTTCCAGGGAATGATGACTCAAATTTTTATCACTAACACAATAAGAAACAAACCTCTTTCTGAATGGTTAATTTCACTTTGATTCTTTTAGAATGAGGCTCTGTCCAAACAAACCCTGCATCAACCAAGCGAACCTGAAGTAAGATGTATCATTAATCACATACAAGGTTCTAATTCATAACAAGGTGACATATAGCTCTTTGGATGAATGAATAATTATTAACTTTTTGGCAATGCGGTGAGTAAGTTTGAGACAATAAGCTCCAAGAGAATCCTCAGAAGATGCATGATTTTCTTCTGGTGAATCAAAATCTTAGTCTCCTGAATGTATTTTTGAAATTTTCTCTTTAAGTTCAAATGGTAAGTATCTCACTTTTCCTACCAACTGAGTTACAATTAATAACTCCTTTTGGTTGTAACAGACCAAAATCTGATTTTTTCCTTATATCATGATATAAACACAAATACAAAATGGACATGAGTGAAAATAAAGGAAATCTCTGGCAAGAACACTGACCCTTTAAATCCCAAGATCTCACTAGTAATTCTCCTTACTGTGTGTCATTTAGTTCTTGTGATGTTAGTTTTGAGAATTTGGTATTGGATCAACTAACAATCCCATAATTAATATTTTTCTTTATTCTCAACACTTGTCTGCTTGATATTGTATTGATTGAAGTTCTGTCCTGGTCACTCATGGGAGTTAAAGGGTTTAGTAAGTATCTAACACCTAATTCTACAATCCAAAATACAAGAAAATGTGTGGCAGTCAGGAGAGAGGATTTATATTCCTTACTGCACCTTATTCAACCCTTTTAGCTTTTTCAAACACAGTGCCAAAAGTTCTCTTGATTCTAATGCACATGTTGTCCACTGGCTTGGTGGCTGAAGATATCTGAAGACAAAACAGAAAATTGAGGAGATCTCTTAATATTGAGATGTTAAGGTGTATGAATCAGCAAGCTGGCATACCACCAAAACTTGATTTTTACCATAACAATAATTATTAATTACATTAATAGGACTGGGTGGAATCCAATTTGGTCCATAATCATCACTGATTTATGATCACAAGTAAGATTACAGAGAGAATTGGATGATGCAAAGTCCTGTTACCAATTAATTAAAACTATGACAAAATTTGCGAAAGAAACTAGACATTGTTTATAAATTTTCACACAAAGACAACAGTTAACTAGGAAAAATGCATGAGAACAGCATGTGTACATGACACCTACAGTCCAGTTACACAGGCGTGATGTGTCAACTTTCACATTACGCTGTCCTATGAAAAGCACGACATGTACACTGTCCTATTAGTGCTCAACTTGGGCTGGTGACATCAAACACGTTCGAGAATCTTGTTATAGTTTTGATAAAGAAAATAATAATAATAATAATAATGATGATGATGATGATAATGACATATTACATTTTTAAAATTTGAACTCTTGTAGGTACAATTCACCCGATTGAAAATCTTTTATAGTCACTTTACGAATGTCAACACTGTTCTCATGTTCTTCTTTAGTTGCTATCAGCACATTTTTTTCAATAACACAATTTATAGTTATGACGCGACAAAATCTATGAAGTAAACGAGTTTCCGTCGATTTTTAAGCATCGATATGAGGTCAAGATTAAATCAGTCTGAAAAACTTACCTTTCACACGCTTTGCAGAAATATAAATTACTTTGCTTGGGAATTCCCTCAGTGATGTCGACTTGCGTTCGTAGGCACCCAACGCACATGTTGGATGGGTTCGGAGTAGTAAGCACACCACATTGACAACAAAGGCTGAAGATAGTAACCAAAGGAAATATTTTCAGCGAGTGTTTCCTTTAAAAGACTAGATCAAAGTATAAGTAAAGCTAAGTTTGGCAAATCGTCTGTGTTTTTGATACCTGGTTTGGTTTTCGGAAGAAGGGATTTCGTCCATATACTCCATGTTGGATTGTTGCTTAAGAAGAATTGTGGGTAGTATTGCGCAACATGGCGTAAGAGTTTATTACTCAGTGGGGCTGGGTGGGGATGGAATTGCACATGATCATGATGACTCGGATAAACAGACGAGGTCGATTTCTGGGGAGCAAAATGGATAAATAAATTCCTTTATGCCGAAGATACAACGATTTCTTCTTCCGTCTTCTCCTTCATTATCATTCGAACATCGTTTCTGTAACGTTCTCGATTTCTCGTCATCCAAATATGGAAAGGGCAGAATAACTCTTTGAAATATCTAGTGTAGGGCTTTATAAGCGCACAACCGTTTTAAGATCTTGCAGGTTGGTACCATTTTTCCAAACGCTTTCCAGAATTTACAGTGACAATAGGAATAAGTCTGTTAAAGGCTGTCTCTGTGTTTCAATTCCACGTCACTACAAATAGCGCAAAGTGTATTCTGGCGTACAACGCACTTTGAACGCGCGCGCGCTGTAGAACATAACGACACAGACAAAACTGTAGTTAACGAACTGAAGCAAACTGTGAATTATACTCGGGTACAGGGACATCTGAGCGCAGTAGACGGTGAATCTTTAACGAGGTTTGATAAGTAGTTTTCCGCCCTACTTTAAATAAAGGAAGTTCATTTCGCTAAAGACGTACAAAGAGCGTATTCGTTGATTGAGGGAATCATGAACTTGAAGATTTTGGAGGAAAGTTCAAAACGATCTAAGTCACTCAAACGGTACAGCTTAAACAGGAAAACTAAAGAAAAAGAAAGGTTTGTATATCATATATTATATTTCTTAATCATTTAGAAAACTTTTCTAATTAATTAAGTATTGTTTGCTTGATTGGTATTTTCCTAGATTTAGCTTTGACAAACGAATGATCCAAACGCCCAATTATTTGCAAACGTAGGATGTCTAAATCTCAAAAATATCAGTGTAAGCTCTTTGATTCCTTTCAAAGAACTCGATCCCAAATAGTGATCAGAAATTTGCTTCTCTCCTAACCTGTTGCTCAGTTTTTAAACTCATATAAAAGTAGTGCTTTGTTGGCATCTAAGGGTCACGTGTTCCAATCCTCCAGAAACTGCACTTTATTCCATTGACATGCGCGAGAATCAGTTCCTCATCCACTAACCCGTAAGTGAAATAACATTATATAATATAATTTTAAACTTGTGATGGTAAATATTCTGCATGTACTGTTTTAAAAGGAAAGAGCGGATGACTAAATCTGTTGAAGACGAAACGCAGTCCTTGCCGTGCTCCCCGGCCTGTGGGGCAGATGCAAATGCAACCTGTGAAGATGCCGAGAAGGATACTTTGTGTCTTAACACGAGAAAAGAAGACTCAACCGGAAAGCAAGAAAATGTTATATCGGCCGCCACAGTCGTCGTTAGCCAGGAGCTACCAATTGGTAGGTTAAATCTTTCCTTGCCTTAGACATGAGATAACAACGGTAACTTCTTGATATCTTTGCTGTATTACAATCCCTAGGGACGATAAAAAAGACACATCAACCTGCGTACGGTGTAAACACTCATGTGATGTCACAACGCCTTGCTCCAACTTCCGTGAGGCCCGACACCAAAAACCCTCCCATGGCTCCTTGTGGCCCGGCTGAATTAAGAAGCGTGCGCATTGCTAGTCAGTTAAAGAACCATCCTTCCAAACAGACGGAGAGCCTATTTCCTGCTCAACTGCAATGTACTGGTCGTGCTCCTAACTATGTGCCACATCATGAAAATTTTCGAGCGTCACCCAGATACGTTCTGGCTCCAAATTTACCTTATAATGGAAATACAATCATGCATTCGGCATTCATGAACATTCCACAAAACAACCCCGTCATGTATACACACACCTATATGACGCCGTTTCAAAGTCCAGGATTTCATGCCAGTCAAATTACGCATACGCAGATCAGGATGCAGCAGAACAGAGAAGCTTACAATGCGTTCACTGCATATGGACATCCATTTGGAGTGTTCTGGAGTAGACAGAATTAAACTTCTCCTTTAAATTGAACGATCTAGAAGGCTTAGATTTACACAAAGAAATAGTTCATGTGTGCCTGCCCCGTTGGAAAAGGCCATGCCCTAAAGAATAACGGAATTTTACGATAAATATTTACATCACGGAAGCCAGCTCTGAACGGTCAAAATTTCTTCTTTTTGCTCATTAAAAAGCATGACATATGAATTTATGAATCTTATGAACGAGAATGCTTTACTTTGAAATAGAAAAGATTCAAATTTATTTTCTATTTGAATCCTTCAACGTCTTAATCTTAATCTCTTGTGGCAGACTTCTTTTAACTTACAGCATTTTCTTAGTCTTGTACAAACACCTAATTTTTTTCCTTTGACTCTATCAGTTCATGTTGCTTATAGTGAAAAAGAAGTTATAATTTGAGAATTCTCCTACTTAATTGATCGTGAAAAATATCTATTTATCATGACACTTAGAATAAAAAATCATCTTTCTCTTCTTGCTTTGTCTGAGAGTTATTTGTCGAGGACGACGTGGCTATTATTCTGATAATCTCCAAGACAGTTCCAAGCCTGAGGCGAGTAGTTGTTTTATAATAGACTTTGAATGTGTATCAAGAGCTCGGGGCCAATTACAGCCAGCTCAACCCGGTAAGTTTAGCGCCCCTCATCGTTGCTTCATTACAATCCGTTAAATTTTATTCATCTTGAGTTATCCTGGTTTCTTCTTTCTTATCATTTGACCTGGCGCTAATCGCATAGGGTAGCTTCTCTTAGATCATTCTCTCTTGAGTTCTGCAACCGAAAAGTGCATTCGTAGAACGAGGACAAACATAGAAATAAAAATTAAGCAATTGAGTAAAATCCGTGCAAAAGTATGCATAAGGTGACATTAAAACTTATTCGAGTCTGTGTGGCAAAGGCAGGCACCCAGGCAGTCCTCTCGTTCCCATTCTTTCTCTTCTTTTTCACTTTACAACTTTGCGTGACACAAATATTAGATCACGTGATAACCCCTGTTGATTTGTTTCTGAACCGCAGCGTCACTCGCCCAGCCTGCAGACTTTTCATCCATTTAATTCCCTGCGACGATGTGGCTGATTTTCGAGATCTTTGTGGTGTACTTTAAGCTTGTTTTTTATTGGCTGGAAGCAGCTTTTCGTCGAATTATTCCTCCACCTAAGAAAAACATCGAAGGCCAAACGGTGTTGATCACAGGTGAGGCACAGCACGTTTCAATGATATTGCTAAAGCTGCTACAGGCGTTGCTCACGATATAGGAAGGATTGATCATACTCAAAATTTGGTGTGCAAACAGCTTTGGATATTTTTTTTTTGCTATAGACGTTTTACTCGTGCATTTGAGATACCATCTTCTCTCATTAGAATACTGGTCCAGTGACCTGCAGAATTAATTTAAGTTGATTTTTTTTTCTTGCTTATTGATTAGCTATAACAGTAAGGACAAAATTATGTGTGCATTTCAACTCTGCATGTTTTTATCGATGTTCTACATGAGCATTTGAGATATTTTCCATCTCGGTATGCCAAAAAACTGATCCACTGACCTCCAGAAGGTTATTTCTTGCTTACTGCTCCTGTAACAATAGTGAATAATTAAATATAAAATTATGCGCGATTTCCATACGATTAAATTAATGCTAAGAGTGTTCGACAACTCGTCATTCCTTTGATGGTAAGAAGGAGGAGAATTTCAGATCTCAGTTCAATTTATAACGCAAACCGTTCAGTTTTATATTTAAACGATAAATGTCTCCTTTATTGATATACTAATTTCGACAATGCATGCGTATTCGGTAGAAGGTACTCTCTGGATCAAGTTTGTAACCCCTTCGTTGTTTTAGAGATGTTGGAGTTTAAGCGCTCAATGTTTTCTTCTTATTTCATAGGTACCTTATATCTTATGAACAAGATTTATGATTTAATTACTTTTGAACGTTCAGCCACTGAGCACTACTCAAACCTCACTGATAATGATTTAGAAGTAATTAAATTTTCCAAGGTGTGGTATTCAATTTCACGATAGTCCTTGTAACAAGTGGTCCTGGAAAGCTGCCCTTTACATTCATTATTGAGATATTTATGCTTTGGAAATTAAACCAATAAAATATCAGCACAGAGCTAAGACATGCATTGCATTAGGTTTTAAAATTCAGCTTTGGACCAATTATATTTCTGGGATTTTCAAGAAAATAGGGGCCTGCTTCTATTTGTTGAAATACATATATCAGATGTTTTGGTATGTATTATCGCTGAGTATTTTTACAAGGTGTGCTGTACTTTGATAAGCCCGTAGGGGCTTGTCAAAATACAAACAACAAGTAAAAATACTTGGCAATACTACACACCTTAATGTCTATTGAGTTATTTGTTATCCAACTGCTTGTTTATCTGCTAAGTCTTTCTACTCATTTCTCATAGGGTGGGAAAAGCAAAGCAGATAGATAAACATAGTGCACACTGCTGACTGGTTTAACAGGTTTTTTTACAGTACAAAATAACCAGCTGTCCAAATAGCCATACAATATTGCAGGATATTTGTTCTCTATTCATGTGTTATTTGTTCTTTACTTTGTGCCATTGGATAATAAATGCTGCATATTTACGTGTCTTTTGTTTTGCCGATTTTCATTTAAGGTGCTGGTGGTGGGATTGGTAGACTACTTTCTCTCCAGTTTGCTGCTCATGGAGCAAAACTTGTCCTGTGGGATATAAACAAAGGTAAGTTACAGAAGAAGAAGATGACACAACACCCCTGGCCAGGCCGCATGCTCTGAATAATTCAAACCTGGGCCCCTTCATCTGAAGACAAAGGTATCTCTGCTCTCCAGAAAGATGGCTGTTAACCCTTTAACCCCCATGAGTGACCAAGACAGAATTTCTCTTAACAATATCAATTCATTATCAAGTAGACAAATGATGAGAAACAAGAAAAATATCAATTAGGGGATTATCAGTTGATCCAATACCAAATTGTCCAAAGTTACACCACAAGACCTATATGGAGGACAGTAAGGAGAATTACTAATGAGATCTTGGAAGTTAAAGGGTGAACTGGTTTGTAGGCTTCAAGATGATCAGTGTAATGTAAAAAGGTCACATCATAGAGGGATTGCCAACTTTTAGGTGACAGTGATTTGAACAATTCTTTTTGTGTAGATTCAAATGAAGAAACTGCTGCACAAGTCCGTGCCCTTGGTAGGGTGGCTCACACCTATATTTGTGACTGCAGCAACAGAGAGGATGTCTATCGTGTTGCTGCAAAGGTGCAGCGTGAAGTTGGTGAAGTGGACATATTGGTAAACAATGCTGGAATCTTGTCTGGAAAGAAACTGTTGAATCTAAAAGATGTAGAGATTGAGAGAACCATGAGAATTAACACTCTGGCACACTTCTGGGTAAGGTTTGAACTCTCTAAGTTCTCCCAGAATTTTATCATCTTGAGTGTGTTATATGGAATTGGAACCAAACTCTCTCAACTTTTTTAAAGGAAAATGTACACTAAATGGAAGGAGAATATTTTAATAATCAGATCCATAGTCAACATGTGTTTTTAAATTTGATTTCAAGACTGTCACCAGCTCGCTTACATGGCATCTCTTCCTTAAATGTTATTTTGTATTAATCTTTTACATCCCAACATCAGTATGAACATTCTCCATACTGTTCTCCATACATCTCTTGAGATGCTACCAAGGAGATTTTGTGGAACAATCAAGAGTTTTGTCCTTCAATCTTGAAACATTAATGTGTGATTCAGGGGTGATGTTGTAAGGAGAAATTAGATGCTAGTCACTCTCAGGGCTCCAAGAAACTATTGTAAATTAATACTTATTTTTATCACTGTAGACTGTGAGGGCATTCCTTCCAGACATGATGGAGAAGAACAAGGGCCACATTGTCAACATAACCTCCATAGCAGGCAGCTTTGCTACAGCCAACTTGACTGACTACTGTGCATCAAAATTTGGTGCCACAGGTTTCAGTCAATCATTAACCTTGGAGCTGCGTGAAATGGGAAAAACTGGCATTAAAGTGACTTGTGTTCAACCCTATACAGTAAACACTGGACTAGTGTGGTATCCAAAGGCTCGGTAAGCCAGTCAACCGGTCTCTACAGGCATTCCTTAGTTTTTCAGAGACTGGAAAATTTTCTGGCTCAAATGCCATTGGAAAAATTTAAATGGCCTGAGCCATTTGTTTATCAGTCTGCTCTGGTAATTATTTGTTTGTTTTTTCTGTAGTTTTCCATCACTATACCCAGTCCTCGAGCCAGACTATGTGGCCAAGGAGGTTGTGGCAGCCACTCTTAGAGATGAGGAAATTCTCTTAATTCCCCGTGCTCTAGCTGTGAACTTCTTTTTGACTGGGTAAGTCATCATATGCTGCCATCATCCTTAGGCTCTCTAGCTGGGATGTGTCACTCCACAAATCTTAACAACATCTGGTCCCACAGAGCAGCTAACCCTAGCTGTGTCTGCATCCCTGTATCTATAGATCTCAACTGCTGTGTGATAAGCTGTATGTTTATTGACTATTTCTGAAAGGAACAACTTGTATAGTTTGAGGTTGGAAGTCCCAGGGGACATTCCTAACTGCTCTTGGATGGATGCCAGATTTTTGATATCCAACAGGTCCACCTAGATATAATATATGTTCTTGCCAAAAGGCCCCAACTCAGCAGTTTGAATCTCAATTGTGAAGGATGGTCATTTTTTATTCTTATAATTCAGGGACTGTACTGTTTTCAGTCGTGCTCATGTCAGAATGAGAAACAGTAAAAATTTAGACAAAGTATACTTCCATTAGATTCTTCCTTTTCTGTCTTTTGTTTGTTTTCATATTTTCAATTGTTTCCTTCCCAAAATTTTCTTTCTTTCTTCAACACTTTTATGTATGTGTTGTCAAGCATTCGCTGTAAGAACCATCTCATGACATTAATTTGATGTTTTTTTTTAATGTTGTTACAGGATATTACCATTTAAAGCTCTTCTTGTTTTGAGTGACTTCCTTCAAGTTGGAGTCTCTGAACACACTCCAAGAGATGAAAAGAAGTCTGATTAACCTTTCACCCCTATGGGTTACTGGCTTCTAATGTGTCAATTAATTTGAAGCTTTGACATCCCCACCTCACTGGGCAATCCACAAACATTTGACTGTCCCTCGTGCAAGGGGGATGGAGAATTCAACCCTGCTGGAAGTGTCAAATATTTTCAGCGGAATGAACTTGTTTTATTAAGTAATATGGAAGTGTTTATAGATAAAGAGTTCAGTTGTGCATGTGAATAGCCCAGATAAAAAAGGTCTACAAGGTATGATCATGCCTTTAAAAATTAAATTGACCATCAAATCCAACACGTGGGCATTTAAACACAATTTAAGCCCCAGGAGACAGATATTTGGAAAAAGCAATCTTCAAAAGTTCAAATGTCCAGGGGTTGGGGAGATACTGAAGCTTCAAATTAATTTACACATAATTTCTCTGTGCAATAACACCCCTGAATCAAATATAAAGGTCAAAAGAATGAGGATATGATCACCAATTTAAGTAGCACTTGATTGTCAAAATAAATTCTCCTTACAAGTAGCAAACATAGGAAATGTAGAAAGAACCAGTGTGGAGAATATGATTGAATATTAATGTTGGGGTGTGAGTGGTTCTCTAGAAATTGAGACTCAACTGACACCTCATGAACTTTTTAGCTCACAAATTTGTAGTAAGTTAGAGCTTAAACTTCAGCAAAAATATATATCCACAGATTCATTTTGTTATACACTTTACTAGTTATATGACTGCAGTGAAAATCAACTGCTTCTTTCACTTTCTTACACAAATAATGCTCTAATTGAATAATCAATCCATCAGTTGGTCAGTAAGTCACTCACTTAGCCTGAGTCAGTCAGTCCACAATTAGTCATCAATCAATCAAATCAATCAAACAGTCAATCAGTCTGTCAGTTAATCAATCAATCAATCAATCAATCAATTGTGCTTGCCTGAGCTTTCCAAATTTATTACTGTACATCTATTTGAGTAATAGGCTTCTCCTCAATCTCAGTTCAGCATTTCTGTGGGGTCTCACTATTAATACCATCAACTTTCCAAACATCTATCTTAGCGTTTTTTTATGGTAACCAACTGCATTTTATTTGTCAGTAGAATCATTATTCAATATTGTACATAAAATTGCACATAAAATGTCAATTTTGGGCTATTTACATCCTAACGCTGGGAGGAAAAAATACTTGCGTATGTATAGTCTAGCGACAATAACTTGATGTCAGATGTAGTGAGACAAAGCATTTAAAATTGTTCGCGAATATTTGGGCGGTAATTATGGATAACGCTTTTGATATTTTTTTTTACCTATTTTTTGGGCGTTTTCGGCTCCCCCAATCAATCACGATTAAAAAATTATAAAATTGTGCAAATTATAGAGTGTAGTAGGCCGACTAACCGCAGCTTTGGTTTTCTGACAGTACACGGCTTATGAACGTTTCCGTGGAAACGGCCCCGTATGCCAACTTACCGACCAAGTGAGAACCGATCAGAACACTCAGATTTACCTCAGGACTACCTTGCCGAGGAAAGAGATATTTCAATTTCTACAGCTTAGTCCAAATCTAGCTCTGCACAGGAGATAGGCTTTTGCTCAGGAATAGTGATGTGATCAAGTACAAGTTTCAGCGCTTCCTTTGAATGCAAAAACGTTTCCTTGATAAAATAAACAATGGCCTTTATTATAGACTCTTCGGGAATCCCTGATAAGTACTCGTTGAGAACTTTCTCGAAAATAGCCAGTGCCTCTTTGCTGCCTTTTTCCATGGCTATGTCTGCAATTACTTGAAGAGGACTGTCATCTGGCAGACAGAATTCAAGAGGAAGTATTTTGTGTGTACTTGACAAAGTCGTATTGTCGTTATCCATGTACTTTTGAACGACGTGGACAAAATAACGTGGACACATTGAGCTTTTGGACAATCAACCTTTAATTTTGTGGGTTATCGTGATCTATAAAAGTTTTCAAAAATAAAAGTAAGATCAACAAAGATTAACTCTCCCAGCTCGCATAGCTGCTGAGAGAAATATGAATCGTTAGATTATGAACGTCAAGGGGTGCATTCTCAACTGACATTTTCAGGGTTAAATAACTATTATGAGGATAGCTTTTGCTTTTCGTCTCATATTATTTTTGTACAACCTAAAGCACTTTTTCCTTTAAGTTGTTTGTTTTATTTTGTTTTTTACTACAAATCTGAGTTTAATTAGACTGGTTTCATTTGTAAGCTTAACAAATTAAAGTTTTGAATAGTAAATCCTCAAACTAATATATTTATTACCTCCTTGGAGGCGTTCGATAAACAATTTTGGTGGGTTGAATTATGAGAAAAAGCTCAATGTGTCCACGTTATTTTCCTGTTTCACTATTGAAGGACAATTTCCGCTTGTTAAATTGTTTGTAATTATTCCGAGAAAGAAAGGAACACTTATGTTCCAAGAGACAGCGCATGTTTGAGTTGCATTAGTTTGACTTCCGTGATTTTGCGTAAGACAATAGGCACCGGAAACAACGTAACGCCTTCAAAAGCCCATATAAGAAAGGTAAAATATTCAATATTTGATATTCGGTGACACATAAACGCAAAGTTCTTGCTTAGGGTTAGCGAGTTTTTGGCCATCATGTCGTACATTGTGGAGCGATTTGAAGAAAAAGCTAGGTTTATAAACGAAAGCGAAGCCGAACTGATTCGAGAGAGACTCGAAATACTTGTAAACAACATTGTAACCCAAATGGAAAAGCACGACAGCCGATTTCAGAGTACATTGGTCAAAAGCGGAAGTGTTTACGAAGGAACGAAAGTTTGCGAGCCGAATGAATTCGACTTCATGGTAAAGATAACCCCTCTTACAGACAAACCATCAATCTTGCAGAGCTCCTGTGCGAGGGATGACGGCTACGTGCAGTTATCTCTTGAGGAAGATCAGTGGAAAGACTTCAGAGATGAAAAGGGCTTCTTCAGCCCATACTTGCTTTCCCGTCACTTCAAAAAACTTATCATGGAATCAATCTCTGATGTGGAAACTCCTGAAGGATTGAGCATTTACAGAGCTCCCCAGGACGAGTCGGAGGGACGTTTGTGGCTCCTTTATCGTGGAATACTTTGTGACAATGGTGAGGAAAATGCAGCTGGTGTCACATACTCCGAAACGCATGGACCATCGACGACCCTCGATATTCATTGGAAAGGGGTCAAACCTTATGACAACTTGAAAGTGAATGTGGACTTGACGCCAACTATCGACCTGCCCATATCCAGTCTTCCCGTTCAGCCCATAACTGATGTGCGCCCCGAAGTACAACCAAAAATTCAAGGAATTCTACAGAAGACTGGATTCCATGTCGTTCCTGCTGGGTTTGACGAGTGGCGCATCTCGTTTTCTAAGGCCGAGAAAGAAATTCTGGCCACTTCCCCTGACGGTTTTAAAGCATGTTACAAAGTCTTAAAAGTCTTACGAGATGACGTGTCTATGAATCTGGGATTGAGGACCTCCTTGTTACCGTCGTACTTATTTAAGACTGTTCTCTTGTCCCAGTTGTTCACCAAAGATGTCCATGCCTGGGAGAAGGAGTTCCGATCTCAAATGATCATCGATGTTTTGGAGCTCATTTTGCAAGCAATAAAGCAGGAAAAGCTTCCAAGTTTCTTCATTCCCTCATCTCTACTTCTATCCAAGGCACACGAGAACAGATTGCAGGAATGCCTCGTGGAAGACATGATAAACGAAGTGAAGGGCTTCAAAATGGCCAACTCATTGATGGACGTTGAAGAGAAAAAACAACAGGTGAAGATTTTACAACTAATTGAGCTGTTGGAGTACATATTTTCGTGCCTTAAAGATGGAAAGAATCCAACTAATGTTTGGAAAATGATGTTTGCTAACATCGACAGCGTACCTGGAGCTCGCACCGCTACAGAAAAATTTGACGTCAGTTGGATCGATATCATTGACGTAAACGACAAAGAACTTTGCCCAGCCGCTTACAGGAATTTAAAGAAGACAATGAACATTTGGGAAGCCTTTGTACCGCTTTTTCGTGAAGCTCTTCAAGGTGAGGAAACACAACTGGCTCAAAAATACCAATTCTTCGTCTCCGAGAAGATAAAGAGATTCGAGGCCGAGCAGCCAGACCTGTCTAAAGAGGAAGTTCGACAAGTAAGAGCCTGTGAACTTGTAAGCGACTGGCTTTTTGTCCACGTCGTTCAAAAGTACATGGATAACGACAATACGACTTTGTCAAGTACACACAAAATACTTCCTCTTGGATTCTGTCTGCCAGATAACAGTCCTTTTCAAGAAATTGCAGACATAGCCATGGAAAAAGGCAGCAAAGAGGGACTGGCTATTTTCGAGAAAGTTCTCAACAAGTACTTATCAGGGATTCCCGAAATCTTTATAATGATGGCCATTGTTTATTTTATCAAGGAAATGTTTTTACATTCAAAGGAAGCGCTGAAACTTAAACTTGATCACATCACCATTCCAAAGTTAGATTTAGACTAAACTGTAAAAAATTAAAATATCTCTTTCCTCGGCAAGGGAAAAGGTAGTCCTGAGGTAAATCTGAGTGTTCTGATTGGTTCATACTTGGTCAGTAAGTTGGCATACGGGGCCGTTTCCACGGAAATGTTCATAAGCCGTGTACTGTCAGGAAACCAAAACTGTGGTTAGTCGGACCACTACACTGTATAATTTGCACAATTTTATAATTTTTTAATCGTGATTGATTGGGGGAGCCGAAAACGCCCAGAAAATAAGTAAAAAAAATATCAAAGGCGTTATCCTTGATTTCCGCCCAAATATTCGCGAACAATTTTAAATGCTTTGTCTCACTACATCTGACATCAAGTTATTGTCGCTAGACTATACATACGCAAGTATTTTTTCCTACCAGCGTTAGGATGTAAATAGCCCAAAATTGACATTTTATGTGCAATTTTATGTACAATATTGAATAATGATTCTACTGACAAATAAAATTCAGTTGGTTACGATAAAGAAAACGCTAAGATAGGAGTAGTAATATAGAGACAGTATAGCGCCCAGCCAATCAGAATCGAGTATTAAGGTCAAGTTATTTTCGCTAGACTATACATACGCAAGTATTTTTCCTCCCAGCGTTAGGATGTAAATAGCCCAAAATTGACATTTTATGTGCAATTTTATATACAATATTGAATAATGATTCTACTGACAAATAACATTGCAGTTGGCTTCCATAGAGAAAACGCTAAGATAGATGTTTAGAAAGTTGATGGTATTAATAGTGAGACCCCACAGAAATGCTGAACTGAGATTGAGGAGAAGCCTATTACTCAAATAGATGTACAGTAATAAATTTGGAAAGCTGAGGCAAGCACAATTGATTGATTGATTGATTAACTGACAGACTGATTGACTGTTTGATTGATTGATTGATTGATTGATTGATTGATTGATTGATTGATGACTAATTGTGGACTGACTGACTCAGGCTGAGTGAGTGACTTACTGACCAACTGATTGATTGATTATTTGATTAAAGTATTATTTGTGTAAGAAAGTGAAAGAAGCAGTTGATTTTCACTGCAGTCATATAACTAGTAAAGTGTTTGACAAAATGAATCTGTGGATAAATATTTTTGCTGAGGTTTAAGCTCTAACTTACTACAAATTTGTGAGCTAAAAAGTTCATGAGGTGTCAGTTGAGTCTCAATTTCTAGAGAACCACTCACACACCAACATTAATATTCAATCATATTCTCCACATGGTTCTTTTTACATTTCCTATGTTGGCTACTGTCAAGGAGAATTTATTTTGACAATCAAGTGCTACTTAAATTGGTGATCATATCCTCATTCTTTTGACCTTTATATTTGATTCAGGGGTGTTATTGCACGGAGAAATTATGTGTAAATTAATTTGAAGCTTCAGTATCTCCTCAACCCCTGGACATTTGAACTTTTAAAGATTGCTTTTTCCAAATATCTGTCTCCTGGGGCTTAAATTGTGTTTAAATACCCAAAAAATAGTTGGATTTGATGGTCAATTTAATTTTTAAAGGCATGATCAGACCTTGTAGACCTTTTTTATCTGGGCTATTCACATGCGCAACTGAATTCTTTATCTATAAACACTTCTATATAACTTAATAAAACAAGTTCATTCTGCTGAAAATATTTGGCACTTCCAGCAGGGTTGAATTCTCCATCCCCCTTGCACGAGGGACAGTCAAATGTTTGTGGGTTGCCCAGTGAGGTGGGGGGGATGGGGGGATGTCAAAGCTTCAAATTAATTGACACATTAGAAGCCAGTCACCCATAGGGGTGAAAGGTTAACCAGACTTCTTTTCATCTCTTGGACTGTGTTCAGAGACTCCAACTTGAAGGAAGTCACTCAAAACGAGAAGAGCTTTAAATGGTAATATCCTGCAGCAGCATTAAAAAAAAATCAAATCAATATCATGAGATGGCTCTTACAGCGAATGCGTGACAATACATACATAAAAGTGTTGAAGAAAGAATAAAAAAATTTCGGGAAGGAAACAATTGAAAATATGAAAACAAACAAAAGACAGAAAAGGAAGAATCTAATGGAAGTATACTTTGCCTAATTTTTTACTGTTTCTCATTATGACATGAGCACGACTGAAAACAGTACAGTCCCTGAATTATAAGAATAAAAAATGACCATCTTTCACAATTGAGATTCAAACTGCCAAGTTGGGGCCTTTTGGCAAGAACATATATCTAGGTGGGCCTGTTGGATATCAAAAATCTGGCATCCATCCAAGAGCAGTTAGGAATGTCCCCTGGGACTTCCAACCTCAAACTATACAAGTTGTTCCTTTCAGAAATAATCAATAAACATACAGCTTATCATACAACAGTTAAGATCTATAGACACAGGGATGCAGACACAGCTGGGGGTAGCTGCTCTGTGGGACCAGATGTTGTTAAGATTTGTGGAGTGACACATCCCAGCTAGAGAGCCTAAGGATGATGGCAGCATATGATGACTTACCCAGTCAAAAAGAAGTTCACAGCCAGAGCACGGGGAATTAAGAGAATTTCCTCATCTCTAAGAGTGGCTGCCACAACCTCCTTGGCCACATAGTCTAGCTCGAGGACTGGGTATAGTGATGGAAAACTACAGAACAAACAAACAAATAATTACTAGAGCAGACTGATAAACAAATGGCTCAAGCCATATAAATTTTTCCAAGCATTTGAGCCAGGAAGTTTTCAAGTCTCTGAAAAACTAAGGAATGCCTGTAGAGACCAGATGACTGGCTTACCGAGCCTTTGGATACCACACTAGTCCAGTGTTAACTGTATAGGGTTGAACACAAGTTTCTTTAATGCCAGTTTTTCCCATTTCACGCAGCTCCAAGGTTAATGATTGACTGAAACCTGTGGCACCAAATTTTGACGCACAGTAGTCAGTCAAGTTGGCTGTAGCAAAGCTGCCTGCTATGGAAGTCATGTTGACAATATGGCCCTTGTTCTTCTCCACCATATCTGGAAGGAATGCCCTCACAGTCTACAGTGATAAAAATAAGTATTAATTTACAATAGTTTCTTGGAGCCGTGAGAGTGACTAGCATCTAATTTCTCCTTACAACATCACCCCTGAATCACATATTAGTGTTTCAAGATTGAAGGACAAACCTCTTGATTGTTCCACAAAATCTCCTTGGTAGCATCTCAGGAGATGTATGGAGAACAGTTAATGGAGAATGTTCATACTGATGTTGGGATGTAAAAGATTAATACAAAATAACATTTAAGGCAGAGATGCCACGTAAGCGAGCTGGTGACAGTCTTGAAATCAAATTTAAAAACACATGTTGACTATGGATCTGATTATTAAAATATTCTCCTTCCATTTAGTGTACATTTTCCTTTAAAAAAGTTGAGAGAGTTTGGTTCCAATTCCATATAACACACTCAAGAAGATAAAATTCTGGGAGAACTTAGAGAGTTCTGGGCTCACTTTGATTTTTTGAGGCCTTTTTGCCTACGCCATGCCTGGACGACTTTGTTGAATTATTTCTGCCTCACTGCTGGCTTTGATTGTTAGCCATGACTCTGGAAACCTGTTCAAGGCCTTCTCTTATATTCTTACGGCTGAAGAATCTGCTAGGCTTTTCCAGTAAGGCACCTGCATAGTACAGATGCTTAAGTTGCACAGCAATAGTACGCATTGCATCTACACGAAATGTGGAACAAAACAATGAAAAATCAATCACTTTCTCACCTCAATTTGGAATTTTGAATAGTATGCAAATGTAACCTGAAAAAATGCCATTTTTACCTCGTTCATCGAGTCGCCGGTTAACAGAGTCAAGCCATCTTCTCAGTCGGGATGAAACGTTACCTTCATGTATTCATTGACATCGCCTTCTACAACATCGTTGTTGATTTCGTGATCGCTTTCACAGGAATCACTGTCGATGTCAGCTCTGACTTTCTTGGACTCTGATGTCCTGTCGATCGCTACTTGCTTCGAATTCCAAACACCGAACAGCTTTATGTGCCGCTTTATTTTGTAAGATTACAGACGCAGTGATTCGGTAAGTTCAAGCTTGGTCATCTCATTACGCGTAAACATCGGAGCGCGCGCGCTAACTATTGATTTAACTTGAACATTTTTATTCTGTGATCATCTGGCGAAATGATACAAGAGTTTGTATGGAAATACTTACGACCGTTCTTAGGAATAAAAAATACAGTCAAATTCTGAATACGAAATACCTCACCTCACTTCCACAGTGCGTCGCTTAGTATCTGACCGCTTCATGTTGAAAAGAACCTGTTATGTTGAAAAGAATCTGTTATCCATTTCTAGGTTTACTACGTACATAAGAAAGGCTCTTAGATAACTGATGATGTGCTCCCTTTATTTTGCAAACAGTGAAGAGTGTTGGTGTACAAAACTGATGAAAGGAAATGCAATCTTGCTAAAACAGCCTATCTTGGTCCAAATGATGATGAAGATGCAAATATTAATGATAACCAAAAAAAGGATGGCACATTCAGGTGGCCAAAACAGAGAGACACTGACATAGTCAGCCCTAGATATATCTTCACATGTGCAATAGTGCAGAAAGTTGGTAATTGTTTTGTTGTTAGTTCCCTTGAGAGTATTGATCACAAGTGTAAAACATATCAAGAAATTTACATGAATGCTGTTACACAAGTAGACATTATAATAACTGTCCATAACATTTTACACATGATATTAGACGAAGGAAATGATATTTGAAGTTTACATGAGGAGCTTTGGACCCCCAAAAAATTCGCAGCATGCATTCTACGGAGGCTCTATATTTCTGTCATCAGTGTAGAGAATTACATCAACGTTTGCGGTCGGTAGGTGTCTATACGGTTACTTAAACCTGTTGATTATAAGTTAAAGGTTCACCTAATAATTAATACTTCATCTATGCTCGAATTTCAATTACGAAAACACAAGAAATCTGGCATTGAAATCACTTGGCGCGATCTTATCATGGAGGCCGAAGTCTTCGATCGATCGGCTGAGCTTTCTATAGTTACGGGATCCAATCTCGACTTCAAAAAGTACTAGTATGTGCTAACGAAAAGTTAATGTGAAATCAGGCCGAAAACTTTTGCAAAGAACGAATTGTTTCGTCGATTCCGCGATGAATACAATATGTTCTGTCCCGCCAGCAGGTCTCAAGCGCGCCAACAAAGGCTGTTCGTTCAACGCCGAGTAACCAAACAACATACATGTTATATCTTCAATTGGTCTCCGTGCCCGACCAATTAGACAGGGAGAAATCCAGCAGATGGATTCGCGAGGTCTCACAACATAATCTTGTTGTTGATACGGTAAATCAAATCGCCCTCGACCCTACACTTTAGGCGGGAAATGCCTCCGGTCGAAATATCATGAGAAATTGCAATGATGTCAGTCAAGATTAGCCGAACGAGCATTCGGGAACTAATAAAGGATCATAATTAAATAAGTTAATGGTGGATGCCTCAACTTTCAGTCAAAAGAAAGAGTCCAGACAAAGAGCGGTCTCCTGATATAAAATAGTGTGAATTCAATTTTTCGTGCCCTCTTGGGTAGTGTATACCTGAGGGTTACCTTTAATCTCTTGCATACCTTCTTGGGTAGTGTATACTTGAGGGTTGTTTTAATCTCTTGCATACCCTCTTGGGTAGTGTACACCTGAGGATTAATTTTTAATCTCTTCTATACCCTCTTGGGTAGCGTATACCTGAGGGTTATTTTTAATCACTTCTATACCTTCTTGGGTAGTGTATACCTGGGGTTTTTTTTAATCTCTTGCATACCCTCTTGGGTAGTGTATACCTGAGGATTATTTTTAATCTTATGCATACCCTCTTGGTTAATGTATACCTGAGGGTTTTTTTTAATCTCTCCTATACCCTTTTGGGTAATGTATACCTAAGGGTTTTTTTAATCTCTTGCATACCCTCTTGGGTAGTGTTTACCTGAGGGTTATTTTTCATCTCTCCTATACCCTCTTGGGTAGTGTATACCTGGGGGTTATTCTTAATATCTCCTATACCCTCTTGGGTAGTGTATACCTGAGGGTTATTTCAATCTCTTCTATACCCTCTTGGGTAGCGTATACCTGAGGGTTATTTTTAATCACTTCCATACCCTCTTGGGTAGTGTATACCTGAGGGTTCTTTTAATCTCTTGCATACCCTCTTGGGTAGTGTATACCTTAGGGTTATTTTAATCTCTTCTATACCCTTTTGGGCAATGTATACCTGAGGGTTTTTTGAATCTCTTGCATACCCTCTTGGGTAGTGTATACCTGAGGGTTATTCTTCATCTTTCCTATACCCTCTTGGGTAGGGTATACCTGAGGGTTATACTTAGTCTCTCCTATAACCTCTTGGGTAGTGTATACCTGAGGGTTATACTTAATCTCTCCTATACCCTCTTGGGTAGCGTATACCTGAGGGTTATTCTTAATATCTCCTATACCTTCTTTGGTAGTGTATACCTATGGGTTATTCTTAATATCTCCTATACCCTATTGGGTAGTTTATACCCGAGGGTTATTTTTAATCTCTTGCATACCTCTTGGGTAGTGTATAGCTGAGGGTTATTTTTAACCTTTTCTTATCCCTCCTAACTCGGCAGTCGTGTAAGACGATATTCATACGAGTGAATTTGTTCCCAATGACCTAAAATGCAATAACAATGTTTTAGACCAGCTTCTCCCCTGTTAAAGTCGATTTTGGCAAGACTGATGTCTTCGGAAAAGCTAAAAGTGCCGTTCCAAACTGAAACCTTCGCACATAAAAGGTCATTATAAGAATAATTGCATTGCGCCGAAGCTTGTGGACCGAACGGGGAGACCATCAGTTGAAAGCGATGTGTATTCTCTGAATTATCTAATCAACACAGTTTCTGGACTTTAAAAGTTAAAAACCATGACCTGTATAAAGAAGGGTTTGTCGGAGTTAGCCTTAAATAGGCCTAGGTCTTCGATCATGAAGGTGAAATCAGCTTTACCGGTGCCGCTTTTTAGACTATTTTTAGTTTCTTCGTTTTACGTGCTTTTAATTGTTCCTGTTATATGTTTCTGTAACATTTGATCAGGAATACTTGTGGACCTTGTGTTAACAATTTACTGTTGTCTTCTTTAGACATGTATTATCTCTAGAGAGAAAATAAGCTTAGCGTACCGCCCCTTAAGTTTTTTCGAATTAGACCCGTTAAGTTTGTATGAGACAATTCTCTGGAATCTTGTTTCTGGAAAATGAGTGAACAAGGTAGAGTTGTTTCTTGAAAAATATTAGAAATGTAATCATCGGAAGTTGCGGTTTTTTCCATTTCATTCGAGGGGAGAATAATTACATTTATTGAAGCGATTATCGGATGTCCTGGAATGTTTAGCGAACACCTCATGCCACCAAGAGGCGTCGAACCTTGGCTCGAATTACTTATGCAAATTAGCTGGCTGCACATTCAATGTGCAGCCAGCTAATTTTTCACATCAAATTTATTTATAATATACCTTCAAAATAGTTTAAATATACAGAAATATTTTTAATGTACAGCCACAATAATTTAAATCAGAGTAAACAGATATGAAGAAATATAGGAGCAAAATCTGTCTCCACAAGGAAAATCAGTGATATCAAAATAGAGTTAAAAATCATTAACATCTTAATTTTATTGCAGAAAATTTCATACCAATTTTTTTGATTTAAGAAAGTGTAAACTGAATTATCACAATTTTGGAATCCTAAAATAATATTTATGTACAACTGGTGAAACAAAATAAATTATCAGAGAATCCAGACTTCTGGTCATGTCTTTCATGTGTGTGTGCCTGTACAACAGGACCAAGAAGTTTCACAGAGAGGTTATCTCTTCAGTGTATAATTTAAGTGATAGCGTATGTATTACAGTTATGGTATACTGCAAGCTATACACTGAGTACAGTCTTTGGTACAAGAAAAGTGAAGACTTTTTAATTCCAAATTCATAGGGTTTCCAAAGAATTTTCATGGTGCTTGCATATTCCCAACAACCCCATGAAAACTAACTGGCAATTAACTTTCATGTGCCATGAAAAAACCATGGAGAGGCCATGAAAATTCAAGAAAAATTTTCCTGGTCAATGAATTTTTTACATATTCACAGGATATTCATGGGTCATGATTTGCTGCGACCCATTAAAAACTAGTGAACTTTGACACCATGAAATTTTGGGGCATGACATTCATGGGTTTCTCAGTACCTTTGAAAAGGCCATGAAATGCCATTTTCATGGGTATTTCATGGCTTCTAGGTCGCTTTACTCAATATTTCATGGGTCATGAATATGAAAAATTTCACAGGTTGTTCATGGGATTTTTCAGGTCTTTTTCATGGCACTGAGACCATGAAAAATGTCATTGATTTAACCATGAAAATCCTGTGAAAAATCTGTGAGTTTACAATAAATTATTTCACAAGATTTTCATAAGTTTTGATTTCATAGTGCTTGGAGCTGCGTGAAATGGGAAAAACTGGCATTAAAGAGACTTGTGTTCAACCCTACACAGTAAACACTGGACTAGTGTGGTATCCAAAGGCTCGGTAAGCCAGTCAACTGGTCTCTACAGGCATTCTTTAGTTTTTCAGAGACTGGAAAATTTTCTGGCTCAAATGCCATTAAAAAAATTTAAATGGCCTGAGCCATTTGTTTATCAGTCTGCTCTGGTAATTATTTGTTTGTTTGTTCTGTAGTTTTCCATCACTATACCCAGTCCTGGAGCCAGACTATGTGGCCAAGGAGGTTGTGGCAGCCACTCTTAGAGATGAGGAAATTCTCTTAATTCCCCGTGCTCTAGCTGTGAACTTCCTTTTGACTGGGTAAGTCATCATATGCTGCCATCATCCTTAGGCTATCTAGCTGGGATGTGTCACTCCACAAATCTTAACAACATCTGGTCCCACAGAGCAGCTACCCCCAGCTGTGTCTGCATCCCTGTGTCTATAGATCTCAACTGCTGTGTGATAAGCTGTATGTTTATTGACTATTTCTGAAAGGAACAACTTGTATAGTTTGAGGTTGGAAGTCCCAGGGGACATTCCTAACTGCTCTTGGATGGATGCCAGATTTTTGATATCCAACAGGCCCACCTAGACTCAATATATGTTCTTGCCAAAAGCCCCAACTTGGCAGTTTGAATCTCAATTGTGAAAGATGGTCATTTTTTATTCTTATAATTCAGGGACTGTATTGGTTTCAGTCGTGCTCATGTCAGAATGAGAAACAGTAAAAATTTAGACAAAGTATGCTTCCATTAGATTCTTCCTTTTCTGTCTTTTGTTTGTTTTCATATTTTCAATTGTTTCCTTCCCAAAATTGTCTTTCTTTTTTCAACACTTTTATGTATGTATTGTCACGGATTCGCTGTAAGAGCCATCTCATGATATTGATTTGATGTTTTTTTTAATGTTGTTACAGGATATTACCATTTAAAGCTCTTCTTGTTTTGAGTGACTTCCTTCAAGTTGGAGTCTCTGAACACACTCCAAGAGATGAAAAGAAGTCTGATTAACCTTTCACCCCTATGGGTGACTGGCTTCTAATGTGTCAATTAATTTGAAGCTTTGACATCCCCCCCTCCCCCCACCTCACTGGGCAACCCACAAACATTTGACTGTCCCTCGTGCAAGGGGGATGGAGAATTCAACCCTGCTGGAAGTGTCAAATATTTTCAGCAGAATGAACTTGTTTTATTAAGTTATATGGAAGTGTTTATAGATAAAGAGTTCAGTTGTGCGTGTGAATAGCCCAGATAAAAAAAGGTCTACAAGGTCTGATCATGCCTTTAAAAATTAAATTGACCATCAAATCCAACATGTGGGCATTTAAACACAATTTAAGCCCCAGGAGACAGATACTTGGAAAAAGCAATCTTCAAAAGTTCAAATGTCCAGGGGTTGGGGAGATACTGAAGCTTCAAATTAATTTACACATAATTTGTCCGTGCAATAACACCCCTGAATCAAATATAAAGGTCAAAAGAATGAGGATCTGATCACCAATTTAAGTAGCACTTGATTGTCAAAATAAATTCTCCTTACAAGTAGCCAACATAGGAAATGTAGAAAGAACCAGTGTGGAGAATATGATTGAATATTAATATTGGGGTGTGAGTGGTTCTCTAGAAATTGAGACTCAACTAACACCTCATGAACTTTTTAGCTCACAAATTTATAGTAAGTTAGAGCTTAAACCTCAGCAAAAATATTTATCCACAGATTCATTTTGTTAAACACTTTACTAGTTGTACGACTACAGTGAAAATCAACTGCTTCTTTCATTTTCTTACACAAATAATGCTTCAATCAAATAATCAATTAATCAGTTGGTCAGTAAGTCACTCACTCAGCCTGAGTCAGTCAGTCAACAATTAGTCATCAATCAATCAATCAATCAAACAGTCAATCAGTCTGTCAGTTAATCAATCAATCAATCAATTGTGCTTGCCTCAGCTTTCCAAATTTATTACTGTACATCTATGTGAGTAATAGGCTTCTTCTCAATCTCACTTCAGCATTTCTGTGGGGTCTCACTATTAATACCATCAACTTTCCAAACATCTATCTTAGCGTTTTCATTATGGAAGCCAACTGCATTTTATTTGTCAGTAGAATCATTATTCAATATTGTATGTAAAATTGCATATAAAATGTCAATTTTGGGCTATTTACATCCTAATGCTGGGAGGAAAAAATACTTGCCTATGTATAGTCTAACGACAATAACTTGATGTCAGATGTAGTGAGACAAAGCATTTAAAATTGTTCGCGAATATTTGGGCGGTAATTAGGGATAACGCTTTTTATATTTTTTTCACTTATTTTTTGGGCGTTTTCGGCTCCCCCAATCAATCACGATTAAAAAATTATAAAATTGTGCAAATTATAGAGTGTAGTAGGCCGACTAACCGCAGTTTTGGTTTTCTGACAGTACACGGCTTATGAACGTTTCCGTGGAAACGGCCCCGTATGCCAACTTACCGACCAAGTGAGAACCAATCAGAACACTCAGATTTACCTCAGGACTACCTTTTCCCTTGCCGAGGAAAGAGATATTTTAATTTCTACAGCTTAGTCCAAATCTAGCTCTGCACAGGAGATAGGCTTTTGCTCTGGAATAGTGATGTGATCAAGTTTACGTTTCAGCGCTTCCTTTGAATGTACAAACAATTCCTTGAATCCCTGATAAGTACTCGTTGAGAACTTTCTCGAAAATAGCCAGTCCCTCTTTGCTGCCCTTGTCCAAGGCTATGTCTGCAATTGCTTGAAAAGGACTGCCATCTGGCAGACAGAATTCAGGAGGAAGTATTTTGTGTGTACTTGACAAAGTCGTATCGTCGTTATCCATGTATTTTTTAACGACGTGGACAAAAATCCAGTCGCTTACAAGTTCACAAACTCCTACCGGTCGAACTTCCTCTTTAGACAGGTGTGGCTGCTCGGCCTCGAATTTCTTCTTCTTCTCTGAGATGGAGAATTGGCATTTTTGAGCCAGTTGTTTTTCCTCACCTTGAAGAGAGGCAAGCAAAAGCGGTACAAAGGCTTCCAAAATGTTCCATATCTTCTTTAAATTCCTGTAGGCGGCTGGGCGAAGTTCTGTGACGGTCACGTCAATGATATCGATCCAACTGACGTCAAATTTTTCTGAAGCGGTGCGAGATCCAGGTACGCTGTCGATGTTGGCAAACATCATTTTCCAAACATTAGTTGGATTCTTTCTAACTTTAAGGCACGCAAATATGTACTCCAACAACTCAATTAGTAGTAAAATCTTCACCTGTTGTTTTTTCTCTTCAACGTCCATCAATGAGTTGGCCATTTTGGAGCCCTTCACTTCGTTCAGCATGTCTTCCACGAGACATTCCCGCAATCTGTTCTCATGTGCCTTGGATAGAAGTAGAGATGAGGGAATGAAGAAACTTGGAAGCTTTTCCTGCTTTATTGCTTGCAAAACGAGCTCCAAAACATCGATGATCATTTGAGATCGGAACTCCTTCTCCCAGGCATGGACATCTTTGGTGAACAACTGGTACAAGAGAACAGTCTTAAATAAGTGCGATGGTAACAAGGAGGTCCTCAATCCCAGATTCATAGACACGTCATCTCGTAAGACTTTTAGGACTTTGTAACATGCTTTAAAACCGTCAGGGGAAGTGGCCAGAATTTCTTTCTCGGCCTTAGAAAACGAGATGCGCCACTCGTCAAACCCAGCAGGAACGACATGGAATCCAGTCTTCTGTAGAATTCCTTGAAGTTTTGGCTGTACTTCGGGGCGTACATCAGTTATGGGCTGAACGGGAAGACTGGATATGGGCAGGTCGATAGCTGGCGTCAAGTCCACATTCACTTTCAAGTTGTCATAAGTTGTACCCCCTTTCCAATGAATATCGAGGGTCGTCGATGGTCCATGCGTTTCGGAGTATGTGACACCAGATGCATTTTCCTGGCCACTGTCACAAAGTATTCCACGAAACAGGAGCCACAAACGTCCCTCCGACTCGTCCTGGGGAGCTCTGTAAATGCTCAATCCTTCAGGAGTTTCCACATCACAGATTGATTCCATGATAAGTTTTTTGAAGTGACGGGAAAGCAAGTATGGGCTGAAGAAGCCCTTTTCATCTCTGAAGTCTTTCCACTAATCTCCCTCAAGAGATAACTGCACGTAGCCGTCATCCTTCGCACAAGAGCTCTGCAAGATTGATGGTTTGTCTGTAAGAGGGGTTATCTTTACCATGAAGTCGAATTCATTCGGCTCGCAAACTTTCGTTCCTTCGTAAACACTTCCGCTTTTGACCAATGTACTCTGAAATCGGCTGTCGTGCTTTTCCATTTGGGTTACAATGTTGTTTACAAGTATTTCGAGTCATGTCAGTTGAGAATGCACCCCGTGACGTTCATACATGATCCGACGATTCATATTTCTCTCAGCAGCTATGCTAGCTGGGAGAGTTAATCTTTGTTGACCTTACTTTTATTTTTGAAAACTTTTATAGATCACGATAACCCACAAAATTAAAGGTTGATTGTGCATCTATAAAGAGTGTAAACTTAAAATGTGTCTGTACAGTTTTGATAGAGTTTTTACCGTCATGTACAAGGTCACTCTTCTTGGTTTCGTGACAGCGTGACACTGACGGAATTATCATCTCTTGTAAAACGAGTTTGCCTGGTTGAGTGAATTGCGTCATGGGTTGTCCCCCGATTCTACATGTTCCAACACCAACCCTGAAAGGCAAGAATAATTATGTTAGTGTTTTTGCCCATCTCAAATAAATCATCATGTTGTTCTTGTAGTCATATTCTATATATATTTATGACAAGTCATAGCACTGTCCTCTAAATCAGAGGATTAACCGCGTTTCCTTAGCATGGCAGGCAGTTATGCATTACTAAGAATATCCGGTACGCCTCGCTTTTTCTCACATCAGTTCTTTACACTCTTCAAGATTGTTCCAAGTGTACAAACTACAAGTTGGATAACAGTCTCCTTTTAATCATCATCCTTATCAGTTCATTATCATTATTATTACTATCATCATGATCATAAGCATAATTATCATTATCAGAATGAACAATTTTGTTGCAGTATTTTTATTTCTGTTACCATTCTGGTCCATAAGTCTCGTCCCTGAGTAGAAGTTGAGATTCTTGAAAATGAGGCCGTCTCCAGTAGCGTAACTGTGATTTAATTTGGCAAATTTTCAAGGTGAATCAAAAATGCGTCTACACCTCCAGCATTTGACAAAACTTAACTAAAACTCCCTGGCATGCCCAACTCGCACGGGAGTAACGCAACGCACGACAGAACACATATTATCACTAATATTATCAATATCATCATTAACATCATTATCAAGCCATGACTTACTACATTGCGGTAGATCGACTCACCTTTCCCTGTATTGATTCTGGGGAGGCAAAAATGCTCTTTTTTGACACACCCTTTAAACTCTTTCTAGATTTGCTGGATCCACCTCCCTAAATCAAGTAGAAAACAAAAACAAAAACAAAAATCTAGTCACCACAAACAAACAAACGTATGCTCAGCTTAGTACATAATGCAGTGTGTCGTGACAACATGGTAACTCAAGTAACCCTCCAAAAGAGGCCTTTAAACGTTCTCAGTTTCTAAAAAAATTATAATTGATCTACAACTGCAGACAAAGACAGTTCAAACAACTTATGTACATAAGCTAGTATATCCAAGTCTTCCGGCTCCTTCACTCCCTTTCAATGTTGTTCGATATGTTTTTATCCTTGGGCATTAAGAAAGTGGGAAGCTTTTCCTGCTTTATTACTTGCAAAATGAGCTCCAAAACGTCGATGATCGTTTGAGATTGGAACCCCTCCCAGTCATGGACATCTTTGGTGAACAACTAGGTCAAGAGAACAGTCTTAAATTTTTACGATGGGACTAAGGAGACCCTCAATCCCAAATTTACAGACGGCGTCATCTCATTTGTAACCTGCTTTAAAACCGTCATGGGAAGTGGCCAGAATTTCTCTCCCGGCCATAGAAAACGAGATGCGCCACTCGTCAAACCCAGCAGGAACGGCGTAGAATCTAGTCTTCTGGGGAATCCCTTGAATTTTTTTGCTTCGGTTCGTAGAACAGGAAGCTTGGATATGGGCAAGTCCATAGCTGGTGTCAAGTCCACATTCACTCGTTATAACGTTTGCCCCCTTTCCAGCACATATCGAGGGTCGTCGATGGTCCATGCGTTTCGGAGTATGTGACACCAGATGCATTTTCCAAAGTATTCCACGAAACAGGAGCCACAAACGTCCCTCCGACTCGTCCTGGGGAGCTCTGTAAATGCTCAATCCTTCAGGATTTTTCACATCACATGTTGATTTCATGATAAGGTTTTTGAAGTGACGGGAAAGCAATTTTGGACTGAAGGAGCCTTTTCATCTCTGAAGTCTTTCCACTGACCTTCCTCAAGAAATAACTGATCAGCAAGATTAATGGTTTGTCTGTAAGAGGGGTTATCTTTACCATGAACTCGAATTCATTCGGCTTGCAAACTTTCGTTTCTTCGTAAACCGTTTACGAAGAAACGAAAGTCATGGTCAATGCATGGTCAAAAGCGGAAGTGACTTCTGCTTTTGACCATGCGTTCAAAAATCTTGGATCGCGTTTTCCTATATCTGCCATGATGTCGGTGACAAGCGTTTCGAGTCTCTCTCTCGTATTAATTCGGCTTCGCTTTCGTCTTGAAACTTGGCTTTATCTTCGAAATTTTCTAAAATTTCTGACCTGATAAGGGTTCTCGCCGTTTCAGGTAAGGACACGATTACAACAGAACGTGACGGAAGCTCTGAGCGATTGGGGTCACGCAGTTTCCCAGTTAAATGCGTAATATCTTTTATAGTCAAAGCTGACTTTTACGTGAAGCATTTTAATTGCTACTTACATTTGATCAATCAGAGGGAAGACATATAGATAACGTCATTATGTGCGACGTTTATTTCCTGCTTTTTTATTACCTAAAATGGAAAGATTCTATGTCACCGGGTTGTTTCTTTTCAGTAAAAGATAGCAGGTGAAGTCAAAATGTGTTACGAACATCATTTATACACTTGCTGAGTGTGCCACTTTTTTGTTCTTAGGTTAGGTACCATGCATCTGTAATCTATTTCTAAACAGATCATTATGAGAACGTGGTAATTTTGTCGTACAAAATTTTGTCCCAGAGCAGTTAATGCATGAGGAATTTATGTTTCCGTAAAAATTCGGCCATCACTTCTGGGTGTCGTACCGAGCCTCAACATTTTGCTAATACGACTCAGCCATCGGATTTGTGCTTATCAAAAGGGAACAATTTTGCGGACTTCCCTTTACAGAACCCTTAAATTGTATCGTATGTAGGCTATTAATTTCTAACAAAGGTTCGGGACAGCATTGGTACCGGCGGGCAAGTGAAACATTTAATTGATTATCTAGTTATAATATTCATTGCTACACGCCACATCTCCTATTCCTTTTGACTGTCGCTCACCCCCTAGGTCCGAATTTATCTCTCCCCCCAGCCTTCCGCTTTCGTAAAAAGCAAAGATGGCTGTTATTATTTTCAGCTAGAAAATACTGAGCACTCGCTCGCCAAAGTTACGGTTGTTCTGCAGCCTACACCCGTGAGGGTCATATTTGAAAACATATGCTCAAAAACAAGTCAAGTCAAGTGAAGTCAATTCAGTTCTTAATTCATGCGAATATTTACAACTGAGATAATTAATTACCGACACACACTGGTAGGGAGATTCCGTAAATACAGTAAAAGGGGAAAAATAAACAATAAAGCATTTCTTTATCACAGGAAAACCACACAGCTTTTGGACAAGTTGTTGAAAATAAATATTCTATATCCATAAAGTTCGCTTAAGTTCAAACGTTTGTTTTTTACCGTTGAAACATATTTTTACTTTGCAAATATAGTATTGCTTCAAATTCTCTATAGTAGGCAATATGTTTTGACCACAATTGGCAGTAATGTCGCAAACTGATTGGCCAATTTGCTCTAGTCGATAAGAGTACAGAGAACGCTGCTTGCGTCGACGTGCCTTGCTATGCCTTTATCAGCTCTAAAACATGGATGGTGAATCGTCTTATTTATCGTAGTTATTGTAATATCTTGATATTTATACCCAACGATATACAGTAAAATTAGATTTTCAGTAACCAAGTCAAAGCAAAATATATTAAAGTTCAATGTGCCTAATCTAGATCCAACTCTGGAATTGAGACATGCTCAAGTTTAAGTTTCAATACTTCTTTGGCATGAACAATTATGTGCCTGACATAGTCGACAATGCCGTCCATGAGGTACTCCTCAGGGACCATGAAAAGGTACTGCTCTAACTGCTGTTTCAGCTGAGCAAGGCCTCTGCTACTGCCCTCTCTCGTTGCCACTTCAGCAACACCCTGGAAGAAACCTGATGATTTAAATTCAGGACGGATTGCTTTATGAAGGTTTGGCAAAGTTGAGTTTTCGTCCTCGACGTAACAGTCAACAAAACTATCATCTATAAACTCCAAGGCAAATTGATGGAGGGACACTTTTTCAACTTCATTTTCTTTTAGACGCATATGTTGACGCTCGAAGTTCTCTTTCTTCATAAAAAGCAAGATCTTAAACTTCTGAGCCAATAAGTTCAGTTCCCCTTTAAGTGAGATTAATAATTTCCTGAAGAAATCTTCTGTGAAATTCCATATCTGAATCAACTTGAAATAAGCTTTCTCACTAAGCTCTGTGCAGTTAAGGTCGGTAAGCTCATTCGTGAACCAACCATGCTTTCTAGCGTTTGGGACGTTGTTGATGTTGACAAACACTTTATTCCAGACAACAGAAAGATTCTTTCCACGAAGAAAAGACGAGATCATGTAGTCGAGGACATCAACCATTTCCAAGACCCTTATCTGCAGTTTTCTTTCTCTAGCTTCTTCCCTAGAAAAGGCCATTTCTATTCCTCTCATCACACGCAGCATTTCCTCCAAGACACACTGGCGCAGCTTGTTCTCGTGATCGGATGGAGAAAGCAGGTTGTACCTCCTCAGAAAGCAACTCTGAATCTTTTCCGCTTTCACACCTTGTATAACGTGATCCAAATGTTCGATTATCGTTTGGGAGCGACGATCCTTCTCCCAGGGATGACCATTCGTGAACAGCTGAGAAAGAAGAACTGTCTTGAACACGTACGACGGAACCAGAGATGCATCCCATCCAAGATTCTCACACACAACATCTCTCACGATTTTCAGTATTCGGTAGCACGTTTGGAAGCCGTCAGAAGAAGATGCCAGAACTTCTTTCTCGACCACAGAAAACGAAATGCGCCAACTGTCAAGTCCCGCGGGAACGACGTGAAATCCGCACCTCTGAAGAATGCTATTCGCCTCGGCCAAAGGGATTTCTGCCAGCGGAACAAGGAGTTTGGATATGGGGTAATCTATGGACAGTGTTAGATCAACACTCATCGTTAAATCCTTATAACTACTTCCTCCTTGCCACCGTATATAAAGTGTTGTAGCTGGACCATGATTTTCCGAGTACATAGCACCAGATTGGCTTTCTTCACCACTTTCTCCGAGCAGATCTGCATACACAGGCCACCACGTTTCTTTAAATAATGATGGTCTCGTTCGTAGTACGGCCAAACCTTCAGGTACTTTGATATCGTCAAGCGATTTATTCACAAGCTTCTTGAAGAAGCGGGACAGCAGATTTGGACTGAAAAAGCCATCGGCATCTTTAAAGTCTTCCCATTCACGGCTTTCGAGGGAGAGCTTCGCATATCCATCGCCTTTGTCACAGGGACAAAGTAATGGCGTGTTCGTAAGAGAATCCATTTGAATCATGAAGTCAAACTCATTTGGCTCACGAACTTTGGTTCCTTCGTAAACGCTTCCGCTTTTGACCAATGTACTCTGAAATCGGCTGTCGTGCTTTTCCACCTGGGTTACGATGTTTCTTACGAGGATTTCGAGTTTCTCTCGAATCAATTCGGCTTCGCTTTCGTTTATAAACTTAGCTTTTTCTTCAAATCTCTCCACAATGTACGACATGATGGCGGAAAAACTCTTTCGCTAAACAAGCAAGAACTTTCCATATGCGTCTCACAGAATATCAAATATTGAATATTTGAACTTCCTAATATGGGCTTTTCAAGTTGTTGCGTTGTTTCCGGTGCCTATTATCTTGTGCAGAATCACGGAAGTCACACTGATATAACTCAAACAAGCGCTGTTTCTTGGAACATAAGGCAGACACGGTATATAAGGAGAGACTATTCTCAGAAATGGGACATTTTAGGTACCACTTTAGGTACCCCTTTCTTTCTCGGAATAATTACAAACAATTGGACGATCGGAAATTGTCCTGGGCAATGGTAAAACAGGAAAATAATGTGGACACATTAAGCTTGTTCTTACAATTCAACTAACCAAAGTTTTTTATCTAACGCCTCCAAGGGGTTAATTTATTTGTTTGAGGATTTACCATTCAAAACTTTAAATCATTAAGCTTACAAATGAAACCAGTCTAATTAAATACAGATTTAAGGCGAAAAACAAAATAAAACAAACAATTTAAAGCAAAAAGTAGTTAAGGGAATAGAAGGGTAACACGAGATGAAGAGCGAAAGCCATCCTCATAGTACTTATTTAACCCTGAAAATGTCAGTTGATAATGCACTCTGACTGCTCCTAATCCGGCCGACGGTTCATATTTCTCTCAGCAGTTGTGCGAGCTGGGAGAGTTAATCTTTGTTGATCTCAGTTTTATTTTTAAAAACTTTCATAGATCACTATAACCCCAAAAATTATAAGCTTGATTGTACATCTACGTGGAGTGTAAACTTAAAATGTGTCTGTACAGTTTTGATAAAGTTTTTACTGTCGTATACACAGTCACTATTCTTGGTTTCGTGACAGCGTGACACGAATGATTATGACAGTGTTTTTGCCCATCTCAAATAAATTATCATGTTGTTCTTGTAGTCAGCCTCTAGAACTGAATGCCAGGATATTTATGACGAGTCACAGCAATGTCCTCCCACTCAGAGGATAAACCGTTTTCTTAGAATGGCGGGCAGTTATGCATCACCAAGAATATCCGGTGCACCAGGCTTCTTCTCACATCAGGTCGACGTCTTTACGCTCTTGAAGATTGTTCCAAGTGTACAAACTACATTTTGGATAACAGTCTCCTTTTTTAAGTGTAACTGACGGCAAATTTCCCCCTTTTTCTGTCCCAATACATTTCTCTTAGGTTAAAGAATCCTAAAGGAGCAAATGAACCATATCTATCGTGCAAAACCAAATTTTCTATAAACCTTTTTGACGTTTAATCGACGGCCATTTGGAAAGGTTCCGATCCAGGAAACGTCACACGTATGTAAGGCAGCAAAAAAGGTCGCGTTAAAACTTCGTCCTTGCCGTCCTGCTGCTACCTACTCTGAGCAACCCAAGGGCATTTGACTGTCCTCCACGCAAGGGTGGGTGAAAATTTAAACCTGCCAGGTAGTGTCGCAGAGTATGTGACACCAGATGCAAGTCTTCCCATTCACGGCTTTCGAGGGAGAGCTTCACATATCCATCGCCTTTGTCGCAGGGACGAAGTAATGGCGTGTTCGAAAGAGAATCCATTTGGATCATGAAGTCGAACTCATTTGGCTCACGAACTTTGGTTCCTTCGTAAACACTTCCGCTTTTGACCAATGTACTCTGAAATCGGCTGTCGTGCTTTTCCACTTGGGTTATAATGTTGCTTACGAGTATTTCGAGTTTCTCTCGAATCATTCCGGCTTCGCTTTCGTTTATAAACCTAGCTTTTTCTTGAAATCTCTCCACAATGTACGACATGATGGCGTAAAACTCTTTCGCTAACCCTAAGCCAGAACTTTCCTTTTACGTATCACTAAATATCAAATATTGAATATTTTCTCTTTCTAAACCGCGGTTTTGTGCGCTGCATTTTTTGTGGAGCCCATTGTCTTGCGCAAGGTCACGAAAGTCAAAGTAATACAATAGTCAAACATCCGCTTTTTCCTGGAACATAAGAAAGACACGATAAACAAGCAGAGATATTGCTTAGAAATAGGATATTTTAAGTCTCTCTTTCTTGAACAAGCGAGAATTGCCATCAATGGTAAAGCAGGAAAATAAAGAGGACGCATTTAACTTGTTCTTTTAATTCAACTAACCAAAATTGTTTATAAAACGCCTCTTAGGAGTTAATATATTTGAGTGGAGGATTCACCATTCAAAACCTTAATTCATTAAGCTTACAAGTGAAACTAGTCTAATTAAACACGATTTATGGTAAAAACAAAATAAAACAAACAAGTTAAAGGCAAAATTGGTTTAGGTTATAGAGAGGTAACACGAGATGAAGAGCGAAAGCTATCCTCCTAATCGCTATTTAACCCTGAAAATGTCAGTTGAGACTGCACTCTGACGTTCCTAATCCGACGATTCATATTTCTCTCAGCAGCTGTGCGAGCTGGGAGAGATAATCTTTGCTGATCTCAGTTTCATCTTTAAAAACTTTTGTAGATCACTAAGACCCACAAAACTGCAAGGTTGATTGTGCATCTATATGGAGTGTAAACTCAAAATGTGTCTGTACAGTTTTAATAGAGTTTTTAAAGTCGTATACACTGTCACTCTTCTTGGTTTCGTGACAGCGTGACACTAACGGAATTATCATCTCTTGTAAACAAGTTTGTCTGGCTGTGTGAACTGCGTCATGGGTTGTCCCCCGATTCCACATGTTCCAACACCAACCTTGAAAGGTAAGAATAATTATGTTGGTGTTTTTGGCCATCTCAAATAAATTATCATGTTGTTATTGTTGTCAGCTTCTAGAAATGCCAGGATATTTATGACAAGTCACAGCACTGTCCCCTAAATCAGAGGATGAACCGTTTCCCTAGCACGGCGGGTAGTTATGCATTACTAAGAATATCCGGTACGCCTCGCTTCTTCTCACATCAGGTCTTTACGCTCTTCAAGATTGTTCCAAGTGTACAAACTACATTTTGGATAAGTCTCCTTTTAATCATCATCCTTCTCTTCATTATCAATATTATTACTATCATCATTATCATAAGCATTATTATCATCATTAAATGCACACTTTTCTTATTGTTCTGGTCCATTAGTCTCGTCCCTGAGAAGAGGTTAAAATTTTTGAAAACGAGGCCGTCTCCGTGATTTATTTTGACAAATTTTCAGGGTGAAGCAAGAATTTGAAAACACCGTCAGCACATGACTCAACTTAACTAAAATTCCCCGGCATGCCTAACTCGCACGGGAGTAGCGCAACGCATGACAGAACACATATTATCACCAATATTATCAGTATCATCATTAAAATTATTATCAAGCCAAGACTCGCAACATTGCAGTAGACTAACTCACCTTTCCCTGTATTGATTCTGGGGAGGCAAAAATGCTCTTTTTTGACACACCCTTTAGACTCTTTCCAGATTTGCTGGATCCACCTCCCTAAATCAAGCAGAAAAAAAAAGTCTGATAACCACAAACAAACGTGTGCTTAGCTAAGTGTATCGTGACTGCAGAATAACACAAGTTCCCTCCAAAAGAGGCCATTCAACATTCCTAATTTCTAAAAACATATTACAATTGATCTACAACTGCAGACAAAGACAGTTGAAACAACTTATGTACATAAGCTTTTATATCCGACTCTTCCAGCTCCTTCACAACCTGTCAATGTTGTTTGATATGTTTTTTATCCTAGGAAAACATATCTTGATATGCAGTAGGTGAACAAGATCAATTAACATTCACAAAGCAAGAGGAGGAAGGTATTAATATTTGGAGGCATCTTCTGCTCACGGACAAATTGTCTCCACAGGTTTTGTCCCTAATTTTAACCTCTTCCATTCCTGGGTTTGGGAGTCCTTAAGTAAGTCTGCATAACTGCGTCAAAGGTGTCAGTTATGCGTGTGTCTTACTGGCCTAGCCACCCATAACTGCTCTTGCTTGTCCCCAGTTTCTGCAACATGAAGCAGGCTGCTTCAAAGCAGGTTAGGCAACACCCCCTCCCCTTGAGAGTTCACCAGTACCCATTTAGACTCATGAGGTGGAGAGAAGCATTATGAGAGAGAGTTATCATGCCACACAATAGAACACAATAAATTGGCCATGGCTTGATGGCTTAAATCTGGATCCCTTGATCTGGGGTTCAGCTTATAACCATCAGCCCTCTGCATCCCTCAACTGCACAAGTGTGAGTCGAGTAAAATGATTTTCATGATGATGTACCCAGAAAAGTACACATTTCCATGACACTTTGGCAGAAACCCATCCAGGCCTTCTGACAAGAAGGAGTAAGTAAAACAACTGTACAAATACTGCCACAGTGGAAAAAAATTGATGATGATGATAATGATAATGGTAATTTAAATTATCATAAAACACACACACTCTGCCTTACTTTTGAATTATGGAAGAAATCCAACCAGTTCTGTTTGTCTTTTTCCCTTTGTTCTTCAATTTCCTTAGAAGAGATGTACAAAGCAATTTACAAACATGCACTATGTCGCAACAGTATAGTTATGACTGTTGCTTGCCAATGACCCTCAGATTAATCAATGGACAATACAATACTGTGTAGAGCAAGAATTCTACAAGATATTAATTTTGTAGATTTGCAATATTTTGGTGTCTTGCTGGAGCAAGGTTTTGTAGTTTGATTTCACCAAACCTCTGACTTCCCTTATTTACAACTCTTTACCTTGGCTCTTTGTTTCTTTTTCATCATTTTCTTCTTTTTCTGTTCACGAAGAGCATCCTCATTGGCCCTACCCCCAAAAAAAAAAATTAATAAAACAGATGTCTTGAAATCATTGAAAGAGACTGCAATTTAACATGAATTGCACAAATTGAATAAATTTCGAAAGTTAAGGATATTAGAAAGTGCTTTAAGTCAGAGTAGAGGACTTTACATGTAGTTTCTCCAATTTAACCCTTTAACCCCTTGGAGTGACTAGCATCTAATTTCTCCCAACAATTTCATCCCTGAAATTCACACATTAAGGTCTCAAGAATAAAGGAAATGATCACCAACTAAAGAACCTCTTGATTGTTAAACAAATTCTTCTAGTCTGTGCCTTAGGAAATGTGTAGCGAACAGTACAGAGAATATACAAACTGATGTCAGGGTGTAAAGGGTTGAATTTCATCAGAATTATGACTTGACCAAGAAAGTCAGGTCATTGAGCAAGAAGTAAACTTTCACAAAGCCTCCTTCTCCTCCCAGGAATAAAATGATACTAGCTAACTGTCGGGAAAACCTGATTGACTGGCAACCCATCCAGGGGGGAGTAGCAGCAGTCCTAGATGATTCAAGCTGCTGAAAGCAAAACACATAACTCTGGCAGTTATTGGCCCACTGGTTTTCATTTTAGCTATTGTTTGTTCTTTAGGTTGAGACTAAGTTTGGTGAAGGTGATTCTGCCTTTGAAACCAAACTTCTCTTTCGTGCCTTTCAGAAAGAGAATGTTTTCCAATTGTCATATTTAGCAAATAGGCCACTTAAATGATAATCTACAATGTGTGAAAAAAAGGAACAGGACCTGAAAAGGTTGAGTTAACCTCTGGTATAATCTTATCTGATGAGAAGAGGTATAGTAGGTACACATGCAAGTTTATGAACAGCAGTACCTAGATTTCTTTGAAGTGCTTGGTGCAGCCATGATGCTAGTTTCAGCCACCCTTTTGGGTGCGGAGGAATCAGCTTGTTCTTTTTCTCTTAGTGATGAAACCTGCATGAAATTGAAATGCACTGTGTGAATCAACACTGTTTGATTTCTGTTCACTTTGTTTGTGAATATTTTTATGTAAAATTCTTGCTTCTCTTTCCCACACTGGTATGTTTTGTTCACATGTGCTGTGTGTGTGTTTCCATAGCTTTAATAAATCACAATCATGGAGTACATAGTGTACAATACACATAATCTGGTAATAGTGAACACTTTAACCCTTTAACTCCCATGATCTTTTTAGTAATTCTCCTTACTGTCTGCTATAAAATTCTTCTCATGTTACTTCTGAGAATTTGGTATTAGATCAACTAATAATCCCCCAATTGATACTTTTCCTGGTACTCATCACTTTTCTTCTTGATTTTGTATTGATGTTGTAAGGAGAAATTCTGTCTTGGTCACTCACAGGAATTAAAGGGTTAAATGGGAAGTGATTTATTAAAAAAGAAAAAAAAGAAAAAGAAAACCTGACTTTGCCACAAAGACCAGCATGGCTTGAAACACAGTGCAACATCAGAAGAGGGAGAGAATCAGAGCAACACTTTTCACCTTGGTGGCACTTTGAGGATAAATCTGTGCTCCAGTAAGGGTGGGAAATACTTCTTGTTTCAGAACTATTAATATGGCTTATTACTCACTGACCTTTACAATTTCTGTATTTCCATATTTTTCAAATGAAACTGTGCATGTTGTGAAGTCTTCTGATATACTATCAATAGTTGCATCATAGTAACTGAAGAAAGAAAATAACCATCATAGCTTATTTATGATCAAACTCTATAACAAAAGCACAAATTAAAGAAAGAAAAGGAACAAAGTTAACACCAATTCTTATGACTACAAAATTCAGCTTCTGTCTTCCCCACCTGCCTGAATCCAAGGAAGGGTTCCTAGATATACTTCGTTATCTCCCTCTGGCTGAAACACCATTCCTTGAATATTAATTTTATTATTAAACCCTTTGAGCCCTTAGAGTGACCAACATCTAAAATCTCCTAACAGTATCACCTCTGAATCACTCATAAAGGTGATAAGAATAAGGGAAATGATCACAAATTAACGAGGCTTCTGATTGTTAGACAAATTCTCCTTGTCAGCACCTTAGGAAATAATTATATAGAACACAATATAGAGAATATGGATACTGATGTTTGGGTATACAGGGTTAAGGACCTCATTCAAAAAAGTACAAAATGTAGGAAACATGGTGATGCTCCAGATTTTACCTTCCATCCTGACTCCACACAGCTTGACATTTTTGTCCAACTTTCCATTTGAAGGCAGCCGAGGGAATGACAGTTTTCTAATAGAAAGGAGGCACACACATGTAAAAGATCTTAAACATGTCTGACATGAATCTCAATACGGGTGAAATCTTTCTCACATATGTTATCATACATCAAGTATGTGATCATACAATCCTTTAGTTTGTATATCTGCTGATTCAATCTTCATCACAGACCATCTGGAATTCTTGACAGGTCTCATGTTTTCTATGTACATTGTATGGGAATCAATAAAGTATATACTGAGGTTTTCAAATATTTCAATCTTGTTTGACATGTTTTTGTAGGTTTGGAGACTACTGTAAAACAAATTGAAAAGGATAAAAAAAAAAAACAAAACAAGTCAAACTTGTCATTGTGACCAGAAATTAATTTCATACTTCAGCCATAAATAATAATTATCTCAGGAAGAATATTTCTTTGAGCAATTTTCAAAGACAATCTCTTGAGTATTATCTAGAATGGGTCAACAAATTAACAGGAAAAATGACCTCTGTTCCTTTTCATTTGCTTTGCTTCAAAAAGGTGGCTGTAACTTTAGTATGACTAAAAGATCAACTGAGAAAATTTTCCTTTGTCTATTTAACTGATGCATGATTTATTCTTAGTGCTAAATCGGTTGCACACTTAAAATATTGAAGTTTTACACTTGATGGCGTACTGTGTATTACCTGAATGCCAATCTTAACTTCAGTAAACTGCGCAATGTGTAGTTTACTGAAGTAAAGAGAATGATTGAATACATACACGATGTAAACCTTACCTCGTTCACCTTCAGAAGATCTAATGTAAGATTTATCACCTCCTGGAGTAAAAAAAAACAACAACAACAACAAAAATAAAGTAAATAACCATGAGTATTTGAGGGAACATAGTAACTTCAATATTCTGCAATCATTTGGTTTTGTGTGCATTTGACCGGAGAAACTCTTTTGTGTGTTGAAGTACTGCACTACACACTCAAAGGCCAAACGCGAAAGAGATGATTTACCAGCAAATAAAAACAATCAAAGAGTAAAATTTACCTGTAAATCTTGTTTTAACTTGATGAGTTCGTCATTATCTGGATCCGTCGTCAGCGCGGCTTCGACCTGGTTCAGGAAAACGTACATTTACATGTTTTCTTCTCAATTATGGACTGTTCGAAAGAATACTTAAATAGAGCTCAATAGAGCTAAAAATTGGCTATCCTGATTCATTCTTATATCTTTCAAACATAAAAAGAAACTCGCCTGTCTGAACTGAGCACGATATTCGGTAAGATTCGCTTGTAATTCTCTCGCATCCGCCATCTTTGTTTCACCCAACTTTAACCGCGTGGCTCCTAAGCTTTCAATGTCCCGGATAGAGAAACAAGCAGAGCGGCTGCTAAGCTGTTAGGGTTCCAACGAGTAGTGTGTGCTAACACTACAAGGTTGTGTTTGCCTGTTATTGACAGAAATGTCAGACATCAAGACACCAGATGATGGTTCATTCATTTGCAGTGAATGTGGAAAGACATGTGAATCACTGTCACATCTCAAACAACACGAAAATATGCACAATTCTGAGAAATCGTTCAAATGTAATTATTGCAAGAAGTCGTTTGCAAAATCATCAGGCCTCCGTAGACATAAGAAATTACACAAAGCAAAGAAAGACTATCAGTGCCCAGAGTGTGATAAGAGTTATATATATTTAAGTTACCTGAAAGAACACTTTAGAATTCACACAGGGGAAAAGCCAGAAAAATGTACTGAATGTGACAAGGCATTTGTAAAACGTTCAGCTCTTGTGCGCCACAAAAGGACTCACAATGGACAAAAACCTTACAGGTGCGACCAGTGCGATCAGAGGTTCTCAGAAAGTGGAACCCTTAAAAAACACAAAAGGACACACACTGGAGCCAGGCCCTACAAGTGTGAACATTGTGAGAAGGATTTTAAGGAGGCTTCAACTCTAACAGTGCATATAAGGACACACACTGGAATGTTACCCCATAAATGTCCAATGTGCAGCAAAGCTTTTAACATCAAACGCCACCTGAAGAACCACATCAGAACTCACACAGGGGAAAAGCCAGAAAAATGCTCTGAATGTGACAAGTCATTTGCAGATAGCTCATCCCTTCGGCGCCATAAAAAGATTCATTCTGGAGAAAGACCTTTCAGGTGTGACCTTTGTGATCGGAGATTCCTTGATAGTTGGGGTCTTAAGAAACACCAAAGAAGACACACTGGTGCCAAGCCGTTTCAATGTGAACATTGTTCTAAATATTTTGGGTATGCATCTTCTCTTAAGTATCACATGGGTGTGCATACTAAAGTGTTGTCCTTTCAATGTATAGCTTGAAGCAAAGCCTTCAACATCCATCAGGACTGGGAGCTTCAAATGAAAATGCACACAGCAGAAACTGGAGACAAATGTACAGAGTTTGACTAAAAAATTTTTCTGAAGCATCAGCTGCTCTGACTGGTGTTTGTGATAACAGACTGACAACTCTAGTCCATGAAACTGTTCATGAAAGGGAGTGCAGTGCCCAAAAACCTTTTAAATGCTTATATGATCTTGAATAGATCATGAAAAGAAAAACTTCCACATCTGGTTATGTATGTAAGAGATTGGTGTTACAAGTGCAGGTTATATGACAGAAAGTTTTTCAGGAAACAATCCCTTGTTATCCACACCAGACTGCATAATAATGTCAGTGTAAAGAAGTGTGCTTTGTGTAATGTGCACTTTTCTACTGAATCTCAGCCCATTCAGCATGGCATAATTCAAAATGGTAAGCCTCCCTATAAATGTGGTTTTTGTGAGAAAAGGTTCAAAACTTTGAGCAATGCCAAAGTCCTCAAGAGAAGGCTGCATTGTGGAAAGGAAGGTTATCCAAAGGAATCTAAATCCTAAAGGAGCAAACAGAATGCAGCAAGTGTGAAGAATGTTTTGTAATTGTAGCACTGTACACAAACACAAGAAGATGTTATACACTTTTAGCAAGCCCCTTACCTTCCCAGATTGTTGTGAATCTCCTGGTCCTGAAAGACCCCATACGTGTTATCAGTGCAAAAGAAGGTTTAAATCAGAATAAAGCCTCGAAACACATAATTATGTTGTTGCATAATTCTTGGGAGGAGATCGGAGGGGCAAAAGTGTGTTCAGGTTTTTTGAAAGTTGGATTCCACCATATTGAATTTAAATATTCAGAGTTTGGCACATGGTATGATTTATAAGTGAGTTTATTTGGTATGTACTAAAATCATATTCAAGGTATTCAAGTGAACACTTGACACCTCCTTGACTCCATGTCACACAGCGTGGAATGCTTTCATGAATAAATACAAAGGTACATATCTGAGAATTAGTCTTGCACTTTTTTTTTTTTGAGATGTGAGCTTGGGATGCCTGTGGTCTACCACATCTCTGACCCAAAATTCCCATGTGCTTAATAAAATAATTTGTGTGGCACATCAGTAAATGTTGTTTTCCTCTCGTTTGATGTTAGTTTTGGATCTGCTTCCATCTAGAGTTCTACTCGTAGTACTAACGTGTTTCTTCATTTTAGAACAGATTGAAAAAAACTAATAAATAAAATAAACAACAAAAGCAATGTCCCAGTTTACAAACAACAGTCCACAAAGCCACATTTTCTCGAAGTTGGTGCTGAGTAAAGTTCCAATTTAAATTTTTGTCATTAATGTTATTAGGAGTAGTATTATTTTTCAAATATCATTTGATTTAGCCAACAGTAACTTCATTTACAAGGAGAACGTGTATTTGAAAAGTAGAATAAATGAAATGTTACAGTGTAAGTGTTATACAACATTCATGATTATTCTTGGTGATGCTACATGCCTTCATCTGATTGGTTTTTAAGAGAATCTTTGTGGTTCTATATTTGTTTTAGGTCTGGCCAAATGTGCATATGCCACTGATAATGACACATTTATCTCCATGTTGTACAACAAAGATGGTTATAAGCCTACGAAACTTCACATAAATCCCAACATGGCAAACAATGCCAATTATCAATGTTCCTCATTTGGCCCAAATTTTGGTGGTGACAATGACATCCACATAAAGTCAAATGCCATCAGCATGGAAGAGTCCTACACTGGTTGTGGTAATACCTACAGGTATGACACACTTCAGGTTACTTGAGCAGTGACCAAGTAGCAGCAGGTTGCCCTTGCAACCACTTTATGGGAAGCTACTAGTTCACCCTAGATGATGTTGGATTGTTACATGTATTATAGGAACATGAAGTATGGATTACCTCTTAGATTACCTCATGTGCATGCACACTGCCCAAAGTCACATTGGAATAGGATGGAGTTAGAGAAACAGGTGATGGCAAGTTACTGATTCATTAGGATTCAAGTATTATTTTGTATGGTTTGTGCTCCAATGTTGACAATAAAGGTACATAATGCCTTGACTGACAATGGCTTTGTTTCATGCATACAGGTGGTAGTGGATCCAGGGGAAAACCCTGAGGTGTAGCCAAAAGAAACAAATAATTAGATATGTGAGTTTACAAAAGAATGAAATAATAGTCCTGCCTCTAAACTCTTTATATTGGGTTTGCAATATCTGATCCCCTCTCTGTTCCCCCCTGAGAACAATATGATTCCCCCTGTAAAGTTCTCTTCCACACTGGCGATGAATATAGACTGGTCCCTTTTGTTAAAATTACACTCAGTCACAAATTTCTTCAAAGTGATCAAAGTTGATGTGTCCCCAGCCACCAGAGTGATTGTCAATCAAACGCAGTTGTGCCTCTCTATTTTTGTAACCAGTTACATCCCAGCTTCTTTGAGCCATACTTTCATGACAACTCCCAGTCTCTTGGAGCACTACATATCCTTCCACCAACAGCTCAGCTCGAACCTTAGATGCATCGCAACCTCCACCAATCAGAAACTTAAAAGTGTCTCCAGTGATGACAAAAATTGGTGATGTCAGTGTACCTATTTTGCCATCACCTTGAATTCTACCGCCAGGATCAGAGGGCCTGGGACGATTTTCGTAGGTTCCTATCCACCAGTCTCCCTCGTGTCTGGACGGCTGACCCTTGTTTCTTGCTGTGGGATTATCCCCGTATGTTGGCTGGTTGTTGAAGGCCGTACCACTCAAGGTCCAGCCAGATAAACCATGCTCAAAATCGAACAGAGTGCATCCTAATAGTAACAAGTAGAAACAAAACATTTGTAAATAATAAAACCAAACGCTACAAGCAATAATAGAGATAGTATTAAATCTTATCATTCCTACTCATAGGCATTCAGTCTTCTACAGTCCCCTCCCCCCTTATACTATGTTGGCGACGACTGATGTCCCCACTGTTGGTCCTCCTAAAAATAATGTAATCTCCCCAAAAATTCCTCCATGCTCTCTCCCCCCCCCCCCCCCCCCACGCTCACTTAACACGATTATAGCTACATTTCAACTTCTTTGAGCGTAGTACTGAGTACTGTAGTTCTGCGCCAATTGGAAGCTTCTTTTTCGAAAAGGAGCCTATACACGAAATATCTTGGCTAATAATTGCACTTTATCATTTGTGTTGAGTGTTTTTAAAGATATGAGCTAAGTGTTGTCCGAGAGGTCCGCAACCCAATTTCATATTCTGAGCTGATAGTAATCTAATGGTGGGTAGCATGAAGATCATAGTGGTAATGTCGGTCGAACGACATCCAAAGAAAACAGAAATAAGCAGCAAGAGTGCACCCGCGCTCAAAAATTCCGTTTCCATCTAGATCTAGAAATTACGGTCGTGGGATTAACATACTGTACCAGCCGACTACTCCATTAAACCTAACATACACTCACATATTCCCTCGTTACCAATCAGCACTTAACCCTTTTATACCCTAACATCAGTATGCATATTCTCCACACTGTTCTCTTTACATTTTTTAAGGTGCTGACGAGGAGAACTTGGATAACAATCAAGAGCCTCTTTAGTTAATGAACCGTTTCTTCATACTCGTGACCCGAATGTGTGATTCAGGGGTGATATTTTTGGGCGAAATTAGAAGTCATTCACGCTTAGGGGTCAAAAGATTAGCTGCGCTTCGGATAGAACAATACTTCTAGAAAAATTATCTTAAATTCCCATTACAGTTTACCTTTCTCACATAGTTCTCCTTCCATGCCAGTCGCACATAAACAGCGAAACATTTTGTTCGTAAATCCGCTCTGACACGTCCCATTGTTTAAACAAGGAGCTGATTGACAGGCATTCTATATAAAGGAATATATGAATAAATAGATAGATGCATAATTATTTTGTATTAATGAATCTATTAGTTGAGCAATATATGACATGCTATTGAT